GAGACTTTTACACACAGACGCTTTTACACACAGACGCTTTTACACACAAACGCTTTTACACAAAGAAGCGTTTACACACAGAAGCTTTTACACACAGACGCTTTTACACACAGACACTTTTACACACAAACACTTTTACACACAAACGCTTTCACACACAGACACTTTTACACACAGAGACTTTTACACACAGAAGCTTTTACACACAGACGCTTTTACACACAGAAGCGTTTACACACAGAAGCTTTTACACACAGAAGTGTTTACACACAGATGCTTTTACACACAGACGCTTTTACACACAAACACTTTCACACACAGAGACCGGACCCGTGAAATCGCAATTTTACTGCAGTTTTTGGCGAACGAACCTAATTTCGTGCCAAGGGGTTGCGCCGGACACCCGGAAATCGCAATTTTACCTCAGTTTTTGGCGATTGAACCTCATTTCGTGCGAAAGGGTTGCGCCGGACACCCGGAAATCGCAATTTTATTTCAATTTTTGCCGGTCGAACCTCATTTTGTGCGAAAAAGTTCGCCGGACGCTTTGCAAATCGCAATTTTACTTCAGTTTTTGCCGATCGAACCTCATTTCGTGCGAAAGGGTTGCGACGGGAACCCGGAAATCGCAATTTTACCTCAGTTTTTGCCGATCGAACCTCATTTCGTGCGAAAAGTTTCGCCGGACGCTTTGCAAATCGCAATTTTACTTCAGTTTTTGGCGATCGAACCTCATTTCGTGCGAAAGGGTTGCATTTTGTGCCGTCTCGTTGGGTTTTGGTCCCCGGTAACGCCGCGGCACTTTGCGTGGCAGGCGTGGCACTTGGTGACATCCACCTTCGTTTCGCGTGGCAAGCGCGGCACTTGGTCACATCCACCTTCGTTTTGCGTGGCAGGCGTGGCACTTATGGCACTGGGCTGGCTCTGGTGGCGCGCTTGGGGTGACATCCACCTTCGTTTCGCATGGCAGGTGTGGCACTTGGTCACATCCACCTTCGTTTTGCGTGGCAGGCGTGGCACTTATGGCACTGGGCTGGCTCTGGTGGCGCGCTTGGGCCGGTTTTGGTCGCCGGTGACGCCATGGCACTTTGCGTGGCAGGCGTGGCACTTGGTGACATCCACCTTCGTTTCGCGTTCTTTCACACACCATCTTTTACACACCATCTTTGGCACCCAACTTTTACACACCATCTTTGACACCCAACTTTGTCACACACAATCTTTCACACACCATCCTTCACACACCATGTTTGACACACCATCTTTCACACACCATCTTGACACACCCTCTTTCACACACCATCTTTCACACACCACCTTGTCACACACCATCTTTCACACACCATCGTTGACACCATTTTTCACACCACTTTGTCACACACCATCTTTCACACACCGTCACAGACCATCTTTCACACACCATTTTGTCACACACCATCTTTCACACACCACCTTGTCACACACCATCTTTCACACACCATCTTTCACACACCATCTTTGACACACCATCTTTCACACACTAGACAAGAAAGGATCTTTGAAAAGATCCGTCAGGAACTGAGTCCTGTAACATGCAAATTAGATGTGAAACAACTTAATCAACGACGAACCCTACGAATAATGGAAGTTCTCCTGAATGATCATCATGACCAGAATCGACATCAAATAGAATAGAATAAGAATGAAGATATTAATAAACCAAAAAAATGTTGTCGGCGACAGAAATCGGCGAGGGTGTTCCAACCAGTATGCATCGGCGACAAAATATCGGCGATCATGTACAATAGACCCCAAAAGATTGTTCAGATTGCGGCGACCGTGTAAAGATGAAAATAATGATGTTGTTGGGGTACTTGGCTTAGCCCCTTGCCATTCACAAGCACTGATTGCAAAATAATGAAAAAGACAGCTTGTTCAACAGTTCAATCTGATTTCTGCAGGTACACATCAGGACGTCTCCCAATGCATCACCAGAGAATGTGGGTGTCTTCGTTGGTAGTGATCCCACAGACCCTGTCACTGCCCCCTGCGAAAAAATTGAGAACCGAAGAGGAAGAGGTAGTTTCTCTTCCCAGCCAAATGGTTGAATAAGAAGAGAAGAACAAGAGGTTTTACATCTATTCAGATGTGTCACACACACACACACGCAAACAAACACACACACACACACACCCACGACACCCACACACACCACCAAATTCGCCATCCCACCTCACCTCACCTCACCTCCCCTCCCCTCTCCTCTCCTCTCCTCTCCTCTCCTCACCCCCCCTTCACCTGTCACCGATCACCCTCACCTCACCTCTCCTCTCCTCTCCTCTCCTCCCTCACGCTCACCTCATCCATCCTCATATCCCTCATCCTCACCTCACCTGCATCCTCAACCTCACCTCACCTCACTCAACTCACCTCAACTCAACTCAAACTCAACACAACGCAACTCCACTCCTCTCAACTCAAACTCGAACTTGCAAAAGCACTCTCCCTCCCTCCCTTCCCTCCCTCACTCACTCTCTCACACTTCTCACATGCACACCCACACACACGCGCGCGCACGCGCACACACACACACACTTGCTCAGAAACATCTTATCGAATTATTGGTGTGGAATGCATCTCCCGTGCACAAACAATCCAGTAAAGTCTGACAGGGGACAGTAGATGATTAGGCGTGAGAAACAGTGAAGAAGAATTCCTTCTGAAGCAACTGTTCCATCTGACGTACTTAGCAGTAAATCAGATTGCGAAAACCGTACAGTGGTTAGAAAATTGTTGAAACCAAAGCTCTGAGGAAGGTCCTGATGCAACTGAAAACCGGCTTGGTGGTTCTTGGGTTAGCCACGTCCCATTGCCGAAATGAAATGAAAATAGCAGGTACGTCGATGAGCGTTATGTAATTGACCCTGGTCCTTGTTCGTGATGGCTTTTTGACATGATTGTTGTTCCCCAGCATTCATATCTACAACACGATAATTTTTACACAATTTTGTGACATGTTGTCTGAATCTTCAGCATTGCCCGCTAATTGGCAGCCACATGGGCGTTTTGTATTGTTTGGGCTCAGCAGAACGGTAGAATGGTGCTGGTGTTGTTAATGGCTTTGGTGCTTCTGAGCGTTAACCATGTAGAACGAAAAAATGTGAAGCAGCAGTGCGAAAGCGGGGGCAGCCGCTACACAAAGCAGGCCGCCCCGCCAGTGCATTGGCTGGAGGATCTGGCAAAAAGACGCGGACTGGGCCATCTTCTCCAACCTCAGCAGCGGGAGCAGAGCTCAGCAGCCAACGCTCCAAAGAGAGGTGTGGCACAGTGCCAGGCAATTGTGAAAATCAGGAAGGGGAAAGAATCTCGTGGAATTTTAACTCCTTGGACAAAAGAAGAACGCTACCTGGGGAACTTTTACACTGGCAGTGCTGACGCAGCGGCCATGTGTGACGCTTGGAGTGTCGTGGCTGAGAAAAGGATGCTGCTGCAACCCCCTCTAGAAGTTGATTGTCCAATAAGATTTCGCTTTGATTTTTGGGCACCCCAAACTGCCTTGACATGGGAAGAGGTATGCCGCAGCAGCCGCCTCACCCGCAAAGACATCACAGAATATTTTGAGGTCAGTGAAGAAACTGTTACAGACTTTTTCAGGAATCCATGTGGTATGCGGGTGCCCCTCCTTCCGCTTGAACTTCTTCTCCGTAACTGCTGGCAGCACTTTGTATTCGATGGGAGCATGTTTCATGCCCGGTTCCAATTTGTCAGCAGGGCGTGGGCCTTGCAAAGGCAGCTGAATTTCCCTAGCCAAGAATGGTTGGAATTAATCAAGCGGCGAAGCAAAGGCGCTGCAGCCACAGCGGAACCATCCCGCTCATTCTCTCTCCAGTTTGAAGCGGAGCACGCGTCTTCCTTGGCCAGTTTTTTGCGGCAGTGGTCGTCCCATATATTGAATGGGGTTCAGGGGGCTGAGCACCAAGCAGAGTGCCAATTTTTTTTGGAAGATCAGGTTGCGCGGTTGGATCGCATGGACAGGGCGGCAGAGCGGAAATGGCAACTTTCTGCTGGGTATGTCAGGGAGCGGCTAACGCCTAGCAGACTGCTGCACGGACTTCTAGCTGCCATGCATTTGAGGAACCGGGGTAAGCTATCTGATACCTTGAAGCACGGGCTGCAGAGCGCAGGGTTGAGCGGAGACGCTGTGGAAGAAATGTCTCTGCATGCCCCATGCGACAGTCAAATTCAGCGATCGCAAGTGCTTATTGATTCAGCCTTGTGCAAGTATTTTGCGGAAGAAGTCTTCAATGAAGAGCCGCTAGGATTTTTGTATTTGTGGGCGGACAGTAGCCCACAAGGAGGGACAGATTGGCTTCTGTCCATTGCGCGCATCATTCCGCAAAAGCATGTCTCTGCTTGTGTAGCTGCAGCAACCAGTTTGCATGCTTCAGTTTCTGACTTTGAAGAAGCGGTTTCGCAAGGCGATATGTCCAAGATATCAAGTATCGTGCAGGAACGGCATAGCCAAGGAATGTTTCTGGAAACGGCAATTCGGATGCACAGACAAATACCAATGGGACAAGGAAGCGGCGATACTTCTTTGGAGAAGAAGCTGCTGTGCCTAATCCGGAAAATACATGTTGAAGCAGGGAACCTAAACAGAACTTGCAAGATTTTGGAGAGCCTGCGTGGCGTATGCACTGATTTCGGAACGGAAGCGGGAATCGCAAATGTCGAAGGCATCAGTGGCTGATGTCCTGCCAGCATGGATGAGCGATGCTGCCACCGGCTTGGTTTCAGAGGAGGATACGCACAGAGTCTTAGAGAGCGAAGCGGAAGACGCCTGCGCGGACTGTTTGTTGCCCAACGCACTGCCGCTGCCAGGCCTGTTGCATATTTTCCACAACATGACGCTCGGCATTCATTCACACATGACCCAGTACAATGCTTGGTTGCCTGGCTTCAGATCCGTAGCGGCTTTGCTGCATCATCCTCACCTTCGGAAGCGGTTGATCGCTACGTGCATGCTGGGAACGCCATGGGCCTGGCTGCAGATTAAACTCCAACATGGTATACCTAAACCTGCTTTATGGAGGTGGGGGGCTGTGAGCGCAATCATCCCCAAGGTGTTGGCTCTCAAGCACCTCCTCCAACAAGTTTGGAATCCAACGAAATTCGCCAACCCGGCAGGGGAGGCAGCATCAGAGGCACAGCAGAGAGAAGCTGAGGAAGGAGGTGAAGATCCGGATTTCCAACAGCAATTAGTGACAGAGACACTGCGATCAGAACAGTGGTGGCTGTATACGACCATGCTGGGCAAGCTTGCCCAATTCAGTGAAGACATGACGCACTGGGCGGAAGGGTGCGCATGCCATAGCTGGCTGCATCGAAAGAACGCTGTGCAAGAAGTAGACGAAGCGGAGGAACCACTCACCGCGCGTGACCATTTGGTAGCTGCTCGTTGCAGCTTGCGCTTGACAAATGGGGAAGGGGACGGGATAAATTTTCAATGCCCTCTAGCAGGCCAGCGTGCAGTTGAACTTGCCAGTGGGGAGCTGTGGGTTTTTTTGGAAACTTTGTCTCGCAACTATATCCAAGAAATTTTGAGCAGCAACAGCTGCACAGATGCTGATGCTGTCCAAGAAGTCTTGGATGATTTTGCCCTTGGCAAAAGTAGCATGGTTGAGCAGCTTCGCATAAAGCTCCGATGTTGGCAAAGTCTGCCTTGGGTGCTTGCGGCCCTCAACAGTGCAGACGCACAGCATGCACGCGAAGTAGCTGCTGAAGCGATGAGTCGCTACGATGCTTCCCCTCAAGATAGCTGCCTCCATCACAGGCTGACGCAGAAATATCTTCGGCAAGGCTGCGTTGCCCGGACTGAGCTGGATAAATTTGTGGCCGGGGCTTCGCTTTCCGATCTTCCAACTTTGCGCGATTTTGTGTGGGGCCTCCGCTTCTTGCCAACTGCAGAGAGAATACAAGAAGGTGATCATTCTGTGGTGAAGTCCTTGGTGACGCTTCGTGCTAACAGGATTTCTGGTCCCTACGTTTCTTGTAAGTTGCGGTTTCCAGAAATTGTTGATGTGGTTTGCAAGTCGGAAGAGTGCCGCAAGCTACTGGCGTACTTTGAAAGCATCCAGGACCCGGACTCCATTGCTTTGCAGTTTGGGTTTTGGAGACACCCATTATGGATAGAGGCAAGGAAGCAGCGGTATACCCGCCGGCTCAAGTTGCAGGTGGCAGCTTCGATTCTGTATGCCATGGATGCGGAGACGCAGTTCACCCAAGTTCGAGCAGCAGCAGAAAAAAGAAAAAAACGCAAAAAAGAGAAGGCGAAGCGAATTGCGGAAGCTTTGAAAACATTCTTGCCGCAGGCCCATTCCAAATGGACGCAGGACAATGTAGAGCGGGTGGCTGTCTCGCATCATTTGCAGCAGCGGTTAGTCATGCAACGACTCTACAGTTTCTCACAAGATGCCTTAAGCTTTTCATCTCTGTGTGGAAGGCCGGTGTTGTCTGCGAGAACCAAAGCATATGCAGCAGTGCAGGATAAGGACCAGGTATTTGAGAGCGGGGACGGCGCCACCAGCACCATGCAGTTGTGCTTGGATTGCGAGGAACAACCTCTGCAGCTGCAGCTCCAATCTGATGGCATCGGCATCGGCTGTGTGATCAAGGGGCATGTTCTCGAAGATGAAGAGACCTCTCAGGCTACTTCCAGCGCTGCAGTTGAAAAAATTGTTTTTCTAAGGGTTGTGTCTACACACCCAAGCAGAAGGAAGACCATTGCACTGCCACCAGCCGAGGCCGCACACTTGGGGCCTTCCGACATGTGTGTTTCAATACATGCAGCGCATGTCTTGAATTTGGAAGCAGATGACAGCCCTGCCGGCGGAGCCGTCCCAAGGTCTGCTTTGTGTGTGTCGGCCGAACCTGAAAGTGCAAAGGGCATCGCCAATCATGTTCAAATATTTTCATTGTTTGCGGAACAATGCCAAGATATCATGGCCTTGAAGCAGAGCATGCGTGCTTGGACGCAACGATCCACCTTGCTTTTTGGCATCAAGGGTTGTGTGTTGCCTGCTGCTGCACATGCGTTTCTGGGCAAGGTGGTGTTGGCCCGCGCATTTCCAACATGCCCTGATGAGGACTGTGTTTGTGTACGGCCTGCGGATGAAGCTTTTGCATCTGCCGTGCAGAAACTTGAGCACATGAGGGTAGTTCTCAAGCGGTGGGAAAAGACCTTGGACTCTTCCACCGGATGGAGTCTTACGGCTTGGGGTACTGAACAACTAATTCACATGCGGGAAGTAACGCATTCCCAAAAGGTATTTCGTGACAGCGGCGCTCTGGCTGCCCTTGCCCTGGTGCCCGAAGAAATTGACGACATGACTTCTTGGGAGCTGCTCCAAGTTTTGGGTGAGCAAGGGTGGACGCTGAAGAGAAAAGATAGTAAGAAGAAAAGTACAGAACTCACGCCAGTTGTGCGGGGCTCTCCGCGTGTTTGGTTTGCTGCTAGTCTTCATCTTAATAGCAAAAAAACAATGGCTTACATGAAGACGCTTGCGTTGAGCGATGCTTTGTTTGACCAAGGCTTTGTAGTTGCAATATACCATTGCCAAGCGGAAAACTATTACGCACACATACTTGATGGCAGCTCCAACGGTGAGGTATCATTCTGTCTTGAGGACCAAGACAAGAAAAAAATCCTGGCAGAGCAAGGCTGTGAAGGTGGCGGAGCGGCGCTTGCAATAGAAGATGACATCAACAGCAACATAACCTTGACATTAGATGTAACTCCCCTTGACATGGACCCACTTCTTCGCCTTGGCTTTGCACAGGGTGAGGATGCCCAGAGGCAGGAATTCGAAGAGTGGGTTGATGGGCCATCTAGATGCCAGCTCAGCGTGTCTTACGAGCCATCTCTGGCTTCTGAGCGGGTCATGCTTGAGGCAGGAAATGTTGAGGGAATAGTATCTGAAAGTGATGGTGATGCGATAGCGGACAACGCAGCGGACGCAGCGCTGGATTCAGCCGCTTGTGTAGTAGATGGCGGGGAAGCTTTGGACGCACCTGCTGATGCAGCCCCCTTGCCCTTGCCTCGAGCTCCACGGGTCATTGAAACTCATCCGGACTCCTTCGACTGGGGGCCCGGAGGCCTGTTTCGTGTGACTTGGACACCAGCGGAGAAACGCCCGCCCCATGGTCAATGGCAGATACGGTGCCCGTTTCATAGGCTAAACCATTCCACAGTCTGCACGAAAGCGAAACAGGCGGGCCCTACCGCTGAATCGAGGAATCTGGTGCTCAGAATGCTTCAAACCTGGGCACTTCGAGCGCCACTTCACACACGGAAGCGGTACCACGCCAGTGACATGGTTGCAGCGGGGGATGTCTTGCCCGCCGAAATGCTTGAGAGTAAGGTAGCGGCGCTGCCTGCGCCGCCGCATCTTCCCCCCACTGACGTTGAGTTGGACGCCGCGGAAAAGGCGGCGGAGGATCTTGCCCGCCCAGCTACAAGTAAGGCGGTGAAGGCAACGGCAAAGGCAGCCGCTCTGCGGCCAGAGAGGCCCGCCAAAAAAGCCAAGGCCAAAGGGAAGCCCAAGCCCAAGGAGAAGGAAACCGCACCGACCGGCAATGGTGATGACTGTGCTGCCAACGCGGGGGAGGAGTCCGCAGATTCAGACTCGGATGATGTGTCTTCGGGAAAGTCTTCGGGGTCGGGGTCGGGGTCCGACAGTTCGTCGTCGTCATCCTCGACCTCGTCTAGCAGTTAATGAATCCGCCCAACATGAGCTCGCACACACTTTTGGCAAAGTCCAAAGTCTCAAAGATGGTTTCACATGAAGGATCATGGCTGAGTGCCAAAAAGCAATGTTGCCATGGGAATGGGGCGGGTTTGAAACAATCTATTTCCTTTGAGGCCTTAGTAACTTAGTTCACCTGCAAGGTGGTGGCCATGTTTTCAACATGTCAACATGTCTTTGGATTGGGGTTCTTCTGCATCCCCCTTTCATTGTGTCCAAGGACAAATGGGAAGTTAGAACAACGAAAACCCGGCGATAAGTTATTTTTGCCAATCTCCAGCTGCTAAGTTAGAGATGTTTCCTTGTTCGGCTTGGAGCTTATACGTGCAAAATATTGCAAAATCAATCTTAAGAAATGGACACTGCACACAGTGTATAGCTTTCATTGGCCTGGTGATGGTGACCTGGTGACCGGTTTCAACGCCAACGGCGAAAGCCTCTCAATCAGAGCGATTTGTTTTTAACTTTTACCAAGCAATATAATTAGGGTTTTAACATTAGACATGTGGGACCTCATTGTTTGCATTATGTGTAGCATTTTAAATCATTTTTAACTACAATACAATTATCGTTTTTAAAAAGATTCTTCGCGGTGACCATCTGAGTGTGTTCATAAGACTTCATGACATGAGGGTGAAGTGGAATTTAACGATATAAGCACGGGCACGGTTACCGTGCTATCCAGTCCAGTTGGTTTAGAAAATCTTGTTTCAATTTGTTGTTTCTGATTCGGGATTTTGGGTTAATAATATCTGATCTTCACTTGATGGAGTTTTTTCTTGGCAAGTGGTGAGTGATCAGCCTATTTTTTCCATGGGTGTTCGGAGGTGTGATCTGTCTTTGTTTTGTATCGATGTTTTGGGTTCAAAGCGGATTTGATCTGGCTCTATGAGCCAGGGGACACAACGTCCTGCGCCAGAAGAAGATTTTACAAGCAGTCGCAGACGCAGAGATAGAAAGGAAAGGTATCACAAGTCATGGACAATCAATTTACATCGCGAGGCGAACACACGTAATTAAGCAATAATCAGTTTCCATCGTTTTCAAATTTCAAACTGCAACATACTACACAGTCTTCACAGCAACACGCAAGGCTGACATACAAGAGTTTGATAATTAACCAAATGTTTCAACACTTTTTTTTTCCAGGCCATCTTCCCGCCCCGTCGCGCCATGTGGCTTTGGGCCCCTTTGACGGCATGGGCTGCATGGAGCTACTACGGGCATGACTGGCAAAATTCCCAATGGGATGATGGTCGGACATGGGATCGCAAGGAAAGCCAGGGCACTTGGCCTGATTGGAAGCCGGACGACTGGAGCCAGAAGAATTGGAATGGAGATGATGGAAGCGGAGAACGCTGGCGAGATGACGCAGATGCTGGAAGCGGAGGCCACTGGAACCGCTGGGAAGAAGATGATGGAAGCGGAGAACGCTGGCGAGATGACGCAGATGCTGGAAGCGGAGGCCACTGGAACCGCTGGGAAGAAGATGATGGGAGTGGAGGACGCTGGCAAGGTGGCAATGGTGGAAGCGGAGGCCACTGGAACCGCTGGGAAGAAGGTGATGGAAGTGGGGGTGGCTGGAACCGCCGGGGCTGGCAAAATTCAGGCGCAGATGATGGAAGCGGAGGTGACTGGAGTCGAAGCCGCTGGGATGACTGGGGTGGAGATGATGGTGGAAGCGGAGGTGATTGGAACCGCACAGATTGGCAAGAGGGGTCTCACTGGGAAAATGCGGATGGACAGCCGCCACAAGAGGAGGAGCGGCAGGATGATACATGGACCCGCAGGGAAGATGATGGCAATGGCAGCGGCAGCGGCACATGGAACCGCCGGGGGCGAAGCTCCAGCCCTTGTCGCAGAGAAGCGGAGTACTCCGCAAACAGACGCGCTGTCTCAGAGCAGCCCCGCAGCGGTACTTCCGCTAGTGCAACTGACTGGCCCAAGGGTTGGGTCTGGAAGACGCGCTCCAATTTCAATGGGTGGAAGAATGTGGAAGGGCCAAGGTGGGCTCGCCGCTCTGCAGCGGCAAAGGAGAAGCGGAAGAACAAATACCGCGAAAAGGACTGGAGAGCCTCGGACGATGGCAGAGCGGGAAGCAGCTACAGAGGCAGAGACCGCAGCAGGGAAAGGGAGCGGCGCAGCGACAGGGACAGGGACTGGAACCGGAGCTCCTCCACCTCCTCGCAAATGCAGAAGCGTGAGACGGAGCGCAGCCGCAGCCTGAGCCGCACCACGCCGAGCACAGAGTACCCAGACCTGGACGAAGCCAACCAGATCGCACGAGATCGCAAGCTAGCAGAGAAGGAACGCGATCGCCAGCGGTCAGCCTCAACTGCACGCACGCGGCCACGACTACCGCCTGTCCTAGAAGAATCAGAACCCGTTCCGGACAAGGCTGCGGCGACAAAAAGAAGAACCAGAGACAAAAGAGCCCGCAGCCATTCCGACGGAAAAAAAGGTTTCAGGCGTCAAGGCCAACACCCCGGAGAAAGCTGGGATGGAGTCTGAGCCTGCAGCTTCGGCTTCGGCTTCGAGTTTTGATATGCGGGGGGCTCCGCCAACAGTGTCAGTCAAGACAGAAGAAGAAGATGGTTGGGTTCAGGTGGAGAAAAAAAATAAGAAACACAAAAAGAGAAGAAAGAGAGGTGATTCTGATCAAGCGGACAGATCACGCCGCCGCAGGAGAAGATGCGCAAATGAAGAAAATGAAGACGAGCGGAAGACGCCTTGCGAGGTAGCGGAACTCCCGCCCAGAAGAGAGCGGAAGACGCCGTAGGAAAGATAGCGGAACTCCCGCCCTGTCTGAGAGTTTTTGAGCCAGGGACGAGCACCTGCAGCAGAAGTTTAAAAAAGGCAGCTGATCCGCCCTGAAGTTTTCAACTTAGACGGATTTAATCAAAACACTTCGAAAACACATCGAATCTCATGCTATAATAGGCTGTTTTTCTTTTTTTCTCTGTTTTTCATCAAAACAAATCGAATCTCATGCTAATAGGCTGTTTTTTCTTTTTTTCCTGTTTTTCATCAAAACAAATCGAATCTCATGCTAATAGTAGTTTTTTTTTTCTGTTTTTTCCTGTTTTTCATCAAAGCACAGCAAATCTCATGCTAATAGGCTGTGGCCCTTGTGCATTGCCCACAAAAATCTAACTTTGGTCTAGAATCCCTCCGGCATGGAAAAAGGATAGAAAGATGCCTCGTCCTTAAAAGCGCATGTTCTGTAAAATCTTTGGGGATGTTCGGAAGGTGTTCGGGGGGTGTTCGGGGGGTGTTCGGGCTAGACCGTGTTTCGATGTTTTTTCTTGTTTTTTATTCGAAACATCATCGTAAGTGTTCGGGGGGTGTTCGGGGGGTGTTCGGTTTGTGCTCTTCCTGCGGTGTAGTTCCTGTCTCCCGACAATTTTCACGACATCTTCGGCTCGACGTTATGTTAAGGACATTTAAGGACAATCCAGTGGATTCTTAGAGGTTTGGACATTGAAATGCCCAAAATGCATACAATCATGCAATGAAATAAGGATTTTCACAAAAAAACAGATGGATTCACAAAATCAGCAATCATTTAAGGATTTGTCATTTTGAAACACTTCAACCTGGCAGTGAAGACAAGAGGAAGCCTTTTGCAAAATTAGGAGTCTGCAATGGCTTCCACTCGCACAGCAGCCGAGTGTAACAGGTGAAGCAGCAACCGAACATGCACTAACTGGTGCAAATTTACTTTTTCTGCGTGTTTTGAAGTGTAACACACCTTCTTAAAATCACCCAGCGCCGCCATGGGAGATATCGAGAGCATGGTGGCGGCTGATGGAGGGCCAATGGACGAAGCTGATCAAGGCATTCCGGAAATCAAGCGCAGGAAGCAAGGCTTCCTGCCTGGTCCTCGCAATCCACAAGAGCGGGACGAATGGCCGGACGAAGTGTTGTTTTCACTTCATCGCAGCGGGGGCCTCCGCAATTTCTTTCAGACTTTGAAGGAAGGTGTCTGCATGAGTACTGACTACAGCGGCATGGGCTGCGCCGAAGAAGCAATGAGGTGTTTGCTGCTAGCGGCGGAAACGTGGGCAAGCCGCAAGGAAGAAGAAGCGGACCAACCCGCGCAGCTACCTAGCAAGGTATTGCGCAGGTTGCTGCCCTTAGAAGGTCAAGAGGAAAGTGATGCAGGTGGCTTGACCTTTGCAGATGCTGGCCCTAGCGGTGCGTTCCCGCCTCTCCCTTGTGTAGGCCAGGATTTTCAGGCGAATGTCAATGTTTTCAGGGCAGGTGACATCGAAGCGGATTGCCGCCGCATTCTACTGGCTCATCAAGGCAAAGCTGCGCCGACATGTGTTCACGGCGACATTGGTGAGCGCTGTGAGAAGCGCATTTGGGAAGGTGTGGAGGCAGACATCGAGCGCTTGCAGCGGAACTCGCGCACAAGAGGTACAATTTCAGCTCAGCAATTTGCGAAGGAAGCCTTCCAAATCTTTCGACAACAACGCTTGAAGGGCAAACAAGCCTATTGCTACCGACATGACAAGAAGTGTTCTGTGGCGCCGCCTCAAGAAAGTGGTGGCATCACGCTCAATGTAGCGGGTTTCATCTGCGTCGACTGGAGTGCGATGGGGAAAAACCTGGGCTGGTTTGGATCATCTTGCTTGCCATTTATGCAGTGGCTAAGTGAGCGCATGATTTTTCAAGAGGACATGGTATTGGGCGAAAACGTCAAAAACTTTGACTTCGAGAGCATGGCTGATATGGTAGCGGATATCTATGACGTGTACCGCTTCGAGATTTCACCCAGTCTTCTGGGCCACCCTAGCGAGCGGCAAAGGTTGTATCTACTCATGCTTCACAAAGAGAAGCGGCAATGGCGCCGAGACAGTGTAGCGGCTAATCCGCAGGCAGCGTTTGAAGCAATGTTTGGCCGCGAGACTTTCATGTCTCCAGACCAAATTTTCCGGGCCCCCGAGGAAGCGGTTCACGCACACATCCAAGGTCCAATTTCCTCCCTGAAACGACAAGCACTGGAAAGAATTGGTCTTGCTACCAAGCCATGAGTTCATCGCTGAGGAAGAATTTGGATGAACACACGACAAAGAAATTAGAAAAGGAGTCGGAGATGCGTCAGAAAGGAGTCGAAGTGCCAGCTGCAAAGATGTGGATGACCAATTTAGCCCAGAAAGCAGATTGGATGGGTCCGGTGTGCGGAAAAGTTCCGGCAATACTGCAGCGGTCGTCGCTTTGGTTGTACGGTCAGCGGCGCCTTGCTTTGCCGCTAGAGCTTTTGGAATGCCAAGGTTGGAACCTTTATGGTAGCGCCAACTGCCCATACAGGTGCGAAGCCAAAGTTTGGGAAACATTGGCAGACCTCACTGAGAGCCGTATTCGATCAATAGCGGGGAACGCCATGCATGTCCAGTGTGTTGCCTCGGTGCTTGCTTTTGCTTTGGCAGAAACTGAAATCAGGCAGTCAAGGCCAGGGCCAGCAGCGGCTAGTAGCAGTGCCGCCGGAGCACCCTCCCGCAGCACCGCGGCGTATGGAGCCTAATGGGGCTTCTCAAGCTTTGCCGCAGCAATGGGTTGTTGGAAATTAGCCAGCAGCATCGCCAAATGTTGAGAGCTGCGCTGAACTTGTGATTCCCCAGCCCTCCTGTGCAGGAAAAAGCGCCGGTGATCCGCGCGAGTGGTTTTAACAGTTCAACGTTTTCCAAAGCATTCTTCAGCTGGCATGTTTCAATTTTCCACTGCAAATTTCGATGTAATAGCTGATATAGACTGATATAGATCATTCAAGCGACATCTATAATAACAATAACATATTTATTTTGATATACATATGTTGCATATGTGTAAAATGTTAATAAATACATTAAAAAAATAAATTAATTAATATATGTGTACAATTATATATTTATATTATGCGTATATGTATATGTGTGTATACATATATATATATGTAAATGAATTATGAATGTATATATATATATATGTATGTATATATTTATATTTGTATATGTGTATATATATATGTATATATATATATGTATGTACATATATATATGTATATATACATATGTATATGTATATATATATGTATATATATATATATGTATAAATATGTAAATATACGCCGTATTTGCGCTTCATTTGTTCTTCTTTGCGAGCGTTTATTCCATGTGAGGATCATACGATTTGTGATCGCAAACTTGTGCTGAGGCGAAAGCTCTGAAGATTTAAGCGTTCCAGTTTATTTAGTGCCCAGCTTATATTGTTTTTGCAGCGAGAAAGTCCCAACCTCGCACTGTGTCTCGTGAAGTCTTGTGACTTGTGCCTCCGCCTCTCCGCCTCTTACTTACACTGACACTCCTCTGCTGCTTGCCAGCGCTGGGCCTGAGCCTGGGCTCCTTTGCGCCTTCTTTCCCCTTTCCTTCGTCCTAAGTCCCGAGCTCTGCCGCATGCACCGTGCGCCTTTTCTTTTCAGTGTGTTGATGTGTTGTTTTGCTTAGCAGCGCTCCTGTAGGTTTCTCTTGATTCGAGACCGTGGTCTCGGATTCGGTGTTGCTTCCGGCTATGCTGCGTGCTTCGCATCGGGAAGTGAACGTGTTGCATGTTGTGTGTTTCAGTTGACACTTGCAGATCAAGAGGTGTCAGAGGTGAACGCGTTCAGTTTGATTTTTGAGCTGCCAGTCAAATTACAACGCGCAAATCTGAAACAATTGAAAGCAGCTTCAAAGACATTTTACAATTTGCCGCTGCTGCAAGATCGTTGTTGCTGGTTTTGCCGCAGGTATGGCAGGTATGGTACTGTGTTGCTGGTCTTCTGGTTTTCTTGTATCGAGCATGCTGACAGCTGAGAGACATGCATTGCTCATTCAATGAAATGACGTGTCACATGTCATGTCAATTCTTCTGTGCCAGCTTTCAACCTATAGTAAGTTATAGTAAGTCTTATGATAAATGAGCTCCTTTGGGGGCCTTTAGCCTTTAGCTTTTGGATGTGATGATGAGCCAGAATATGCTTTGGATGCGACTGCACTTCTCATGTTCCCGAGCCCTCAGTACTGGGTTTGTCAATACTCCTGTATTAGATGCTGAGTTCAATATATATAAACTGTATTCATGTTAATTTGACGCAGTCCAGACTTGTTCGCTGCGTTATACCTTATACCCGTAATGACTTCATGCCGCAGTGGACAAGAATGCCAAGCGCCAAGCTGCGATTGCTTGAGTGGAAGTCTGTCCATTCATACATTAGTATGACGGTGACTGGGTGGGTGGGATGTGACTTGTGACAACCGGTGATCTGTGCGAGTATATTTCCCAGTCAATTTTTGTGCAGAGTTTTTTTCTTGCGCGTTCGATAGCTGGATTTATTTCCACAGTGAAATTTGCATCAGTTTTTTAGTAGCAGCAGCAGTGGATTTATTTGCGCAAAGTTGATTATCTATATCTAGCTCAATATCTATCCATCTATATCAATAAATTCACAAAGAAATAAATAATAGATAATATATGTATATATAATATCCGCATTAAATATATATATATATATAGTCACCGTGTTTTCTTTTTTGCACGCTATTTTTGCGACGTGCAGATATGTTCCGACTTGTTCACTATAGGTGTAACAAGCAGCTGCTTCCCGCTCACCTGGATCAATGTCAACGCCGCCTTCTCCTGCAGGCTATTTTCAGGCAAGCATATGCAAAGCAAATGTGATGAAAACCTTTCCCCTATGTCAACCTCATTAAGCCTTCCATTGATGTTGTGTTGTAACTGCATACGGTTTGAAAGCTTGCGCTGGCCTGCAGCCTTCGGACTTCCGACCGCATTGTTGACAACAGGTGCAAGGACAGTAAAGGCTTATAGGCTCAGCTCATTTCATGTCATTCTAGGCATTTGGTTGCCGGCGACATTTCGGCGGCGATTGGCGCATGCCATGTTAGGACTGGCACTGGAGCTGCAAGGAGATGACACTAACAATGAACTAGCGCTAGAGCGGCAGGATGCTGCACCGTCTCCGGACAGAGGCGGAGGCGGAGATGCAATTTCTGAGGAGGAAAGCGGCGAAGCCAGAGAAACAAAAAGCGAGCCGCAAAGTAAACATAAACGAAAACGAAAAGTTGCTCAGGCAAAAGCAGCTGCCGCGGACGCACGCAATGAGAGCAGGAATGAAAACCCAGAATCCGAGGCGTACAAAAAGTGCCAGGGCCCCTGCGGAAAACGCAAGCTCAGCGACCAGTTCAACCTGGACCAGGCAAAGTGCAAAGAGTGTTCCTTGAACGTGAGATCTTTTTGGAAGAATGCCAAGTCTCAGAAGGTGGACAAAGAAATGAAAAATCTAGAGGAGAAGGACCCCAACACTTTCAAGGACATTTTGAAAGAATATTGCCGGGAACGCGCAACAGCTGCGCAGAATCATCGAAAAGTCAAATTCAACATAACGGAGTACAAAGAAGGGATTGTCGCGCGAAGCGGTGACCGCAAAGAAGTCATTAGAGAAATGATGTGGGAGGGACAATGGATGGAAGCGGCGAAGACTGCCGCGCACGGCTTCTTAACGACGGAAGAGGCCCAGAGCAAGTGGAAACAATGGGAAGCGGACCCCGCCATCAAGAAAGATGATAATGGTCCGCGTGGGTTTCAGCGCATAGCGGTTCCAACCCGCACAGAGCTAGCGGAATATGAAGATGTCGGGAGACAAAGAGAGCTCATGCAAGCGGAGCGGATATCCCGCAATGCAAAAGCGGAGACGCTGACCGCCCGGGCTGAGATGGTCCTATCTGAGGGAAACGATCCAGAAAAGGATAGGATTGGCAACATGAATCTAGGTGACATCCGAGCAAAAGCGCAAAGCAGCGGTGTCGACATGTCCGAGATGTGCGCACCACAAATAGGAGAAATCGCCGACAGCGCGGCTGCGAAGCGCAGGCGCTCAAGTGTCAGCCAGCGAAAAAAAGGAGATGAAGACAGTCAAGAGGATATGGATCAGGAAGAAAAGTCTGAGTCAGAAAACGATAAATGCCCAGAGAAAGGAAAGAAAGGAAAAGACAAAGATGAGAATAACAAAGGAAAGTGGTTTGATGCGGAAACCAAATGCCGCAAAGCAGAGCGGGTATTCCTCGCAAGTATTGATTCGTTGCAGAGCAACATGGAAAAGGTCATCAAAGAAACTCAAGCGGCTTTGGAGGAATTCCGCCAAGCTCCAGACAGGGAGGAATTCCAGGAGGAGATGCAGATTTTGGAAAGGCGCATGATATGGCTGCAAGCTGTCATAGAATCTGAAGATGCGTTGGAAAAAAATTGAAGGAAGAGTCACAAAAGAAGCGGGATGCGGATGATTCAAAAACGACCTCCCGTGATGTCAGCGCGCTGCACCGCGCAGGGCCCTGCAGAGATTTCGAGTTGCTGAAGTCTTTAGAATATATGCGAAGGCATGCTACCAACTACCGAACCTGCCAGTCCAACGATGCCATCAAGAAAGTGACTGATGAGAGCGCAGAATGGAAGAAAGTAGCGCTGACGCTGCTGACCGCGGTGAAAGCTGCCAAAACAGACCTGCAGTCAGCCAAAAAAAGGAAAGATGCGAATCAAAAAAAAGAAGAGGACAAAGTAGCAAGAGCAGCCAAAGCTGCTGCGAAGAGTCGCGCGGACAAGATCGCGGCAAAAGGGCGGACTGCGGAAGCCGACACTGCGCAAGGGAAAGTCCGCAAGCGGGTTGCCCCGCAAGGTGTCTGTTTGATTCCTCCAAGACATGGTGGTCGGCTTCTGAGCTGATGCTGCCTAGCATACGGGACACCCAGGAGTGGGATGCGACAATGCCATGCCTCAGGTCAGGAATCCAGGGCACAACAGCTGCGGTTGAACGTCTTGGGGCATTTGGGAAAGTCTTTACTGGAAGTTCCTTGCGGGTAACGGAAGGCCGCGCGCATGCTGTGTGGAACCAGCACACACCTAATGCAACAAAGGAGATGCGGGAACTTGTGGCGCATATGCACGTAGCTGCTGCATTGCCAGTGACTTGGCGGCTACACAGTGAGGCGGAGAAACAACCGCCAAGCGATGCCTGCTCACCTGCGGAAAACAAGTTAGATGCCGCCATGAAGATATCCACTTTTGGGCTGGCGGGTTGTACTGTATCACATAGCCGCACAGAAGTTGGTTTGCTGCCTTGCTTCCGGTGGGTGCAAGCAGGCACTATGATGGTAGCAGTCGGTGTGCCGCAAACAAACTCCGACATGTTGCAAAAAATGCAAGACATCATGCAAAGCAGCAGCGAGGACAGCATACAGAAGGTATGCAGAGAGGAAGTTTTGAGATTTGCCACCGTGGGTCCAGGGGACCTCCTATATATCCCTCCGGGAGCGGTTGTTTCGCACAAGGTCCATTCCCAAGATGTGCTTGGCATGCGCTTTGGAATTTTGGCAGATGAAATGAAGTCGAGGCTGGAGTCCCTGGTGCAAGCGGTATCGCAGCAACCTCCATTGGTAGCGGTGCTCACCGCAGCTGTCACAAGGCTGAAACCTATTGGATTCGGGCCTGAAGGAGGAGAAGAAGTTATGGCCTGCGATGACGATGACGCTGAGGAGGCGGGTAACCAAAAGGCTGAAGGGCTCAACCTGTTAAAACCGCCAAAATCCGCAACCCTGCAAGCGGAAGCCACGGAAGCGTTGCCGGCGGCATCAGGAGGCGCCTTGATCGCAGAGGCAGTGGCAGAAGAGCCAAAAGTGCCAAAAGCCCCAGAAGAAGACGTGGAAAATGGTACCGCCGCAAAGCAAGAAGCTGATGGCGCCCCAGCTGTTGGCACAGCTGAAGATACCACAAAGGCAGCGGAAGAAGCCGCGCAAGCAGTGCCAGCGGCAGCGGAAACACCCGCGCCAATGCAGACAATAGTCCCTGGAACTCCGGAAAAACAAGAAAGCGATGCTGCCACTGCCACAGCGGCATTGCAAGATCCGGCGCCGGAAGAGCGCAGCACAGAAAACGAAAAGGCTAATGCTGCCCCAGGTGTTTGCACAGCAAAAGACACGGCCAATGAGGGTGAAGAAAAGAAAAAGCAAGCAGCGTTGGAAGCGCAGAAAGAAAGCAGCACCAGTACAGAACCCCAAGAGCAAGCGGAAGGATCCCCCGCAGCGACGCAGCCAGCAAGCTTGGAAGCTTCGAAGGAGGAAAAAAGCGACGCTGTTCCTGCGGAGAAGGTTGTACCCGCCAGTAGCAGTGGCCCACCTTCGAGGCCCCCATCACAAACTTCCCCAGCGGAGGAGCCGGCAGCCAAGGCCAAAGCCTTGCCCAAGGGCGCGCCCAAACCAGAACCCAAGAGAGGGAAAGACGAGAAAGAGGCTAAAAAAACGAAAAAGACGGAGGCAGGCGAGGGACAGAACCAGGCCAAGAAACAGAAAAGAAGATAAGCGGTGACAGCGGCCATGCACTACTATGGCTGCCGAAGAAGCGGCGTAGTTGCTGCCGGCCGCAGCATGAGTGGTGCAAGCGGGAGATGGCCGCCATAGGGTTGGATGCTGGAGCACCTGGCTGCAAGTGCGTAAAAAAGCCAAAAGTGTGTCGCCGCGGGTTGTGCTGGTCACGGGTATTGTTCTGGACGCAATATAACTGGATGGTGGTTTGGAACATTTTTTATTTTTCCATTTATTGGGAATAATCATCCCAACTGATTAATATTGATCAGAGGGGTTGAAACCACCAACCAGATAAAGATCCCCATCAAGATCGAGGAAAACCATCCATTGGGAAGGGCGGTTGTGATTCGCGATTTTGCTTCTCTATTTTTCTTTTGCGGCGGGCCAGTTGGCATGGCCATAGGCTTACGGCATAGTGCAAAATAATGGTAATGATCCAGATCAGGATTGTTTCCGTCGCATTTTTCATCCGTAAACCGCAGTGAGGAACTGGCACGAGGAAGTTTTTTTCCAGAATTTGAACCGGACCTTTGAAAGTTGCCATTGTTGTGACGCTATTTGATTGTCAATGTGCCGGTTTAAGTTTAGAATGCTTGAGCCTCAATATGAGCATTTTTTTCGACCAGTTCTGCCACCTGAACAATTCAAATGGCTTGGTGATGTTGCAAGCACATCGTTTTAGTATCTCTTGCGATTCAATTTCCAAAATAGCAGGCGAGCCTTTGTGAAGGGTGTTGTTTTTGCTAACAAGCCAAGCTGCTAGCAACATGTAGGGAAATTTTTTAAAGTTGAGCCCAGGCCAGATAGTTATATATTTTGCCATAATTCCAGCCACGAACAAGGACATAGGCAATAACACAATGAGCGTCCCCATCGATATCACAGATGACACACTGGCGTCTTCGTTGGTGCCAGTCCAGTGTGCATCCCTGGCACCCCCTGCATGAAATTGATAGACAAAAGACTAAAACATAGAAACTTAAGCAACAGAAATCAGAAGTTTTACATCTATTCAGATGTTCCACACACACGCCTCGCTGCCGCGAGGCTTTTTTTAATGATCACGAGCGGTGAAAGGCTATTATCCGTTCCCTGAAGCGGATATGGCTTCAAAATACAGGGATGAATCAGCTGTTGAAAAATACTAGCCACTCAGAGCGCCTCATCAGAAAATGCCTCCATGCGACGTGCTTGTTCTGACAATGTGCGGGTAGATTCGGCCAGATGACTGGCGATATGAGCCAAGTCTGCTGCCGAGAAGATCTGAACCGGATGTCGTGTCAAGTCATCCTCAGGATCCTCGAGTCGTTCGAGAATTGCCATGTTGGCATCCCTGTCATTGTTGAGAACATTCCAGAAGAAGGTTGCCAGCTGTTGGATCTGGACAGGTGGTGGAGTGATGTCCACATTGGCCACCATGGATTCGGTGTCTTCCATGCCGGATCCTGTTACGGATGCAGGGCTTCCTGAATCTTCATGTTGAGAGGTGTACCAATGGCCATCCAGAGGTATTTCTGGAATATGGAAGTAGCGACGCCAGTAATTGGCAAGTTGGGATGATTGAGTCCAGGAATCAATCCAGCCATTGCGGCAAGCACGAATGTGGCCGATGATCCCATTGAAGAAGAACTCCGGCTGCCTGTTTCGATGGTTCCCACGTCGATCCACCTCCGTTATCATGAGTCGACGGAGTGTAGGTTGGGATGCGTCAGCCTGAGGAGTTTGAACCTCGATGAAATAGTAGGCATGAAGCTGACGACGGGTCTCTGCCATTTCCATCTGAAGGGGAAAGGCTTCTGCATCAAGTCTTGGAATAATCGGAGTCTGATGATCAGCAGGAGCTGGGATGGGTGTGGCCATGTCTGTGATGGCATACCCAGATTGGGATGGATCGGCATGTGTGTCTGCAAGGGGGATGGATGGTCCAGCATCAGCTAATGTGGGATCAGCTTCTGGGTTTGAGGAAGCAGCATTGTAGCAGGATTGACCATGACTGCGAGATCTCCAGGAGTGACGACGTGGCATACTCATGGGAGATGAATTGGACGTGAAGCCGGCAAGCAGGGAATCACGTTTGGTCATGGTACAGCTGGAGCCAAAAGCTAAGAAAAAGAGGTCGCAACAAAGGAAACTGACAAGGCAAAACAAGGACAAAGAACAAGAGAAAAACACGACGGAAAGAGGAAAGATCAGCAAAGCGATGAGTCATTTTTACCAGCTTATGGAAGCATATTACGGTCGGGAAGGGCCTCATGGCAGCTCATGTGCATGATGTAAGGCTGCTGGTGAGACGTGAACTGACGAATTTCATTAAGGAAAAGAAAGCCCAACTCTTGTCCTTCCGTCCAATGAGGGCGGAGTTCAAAAAGATAATCAACCAGTCGGTTTTCGTTCCGGAGAGCTAGTGTATCACCAGTCTCATCTTGCCATCTGATGTCCATGGATGCCGGAGGTAAGTAATGGTCCCAAGTGTACCAGATGTGCTGGCTGATACAATGAAGAAGATTGTAGACCGTGAAAGATTCAAGGCGATGGGTATTGAGCAAAACATTGTACGTGAACAGAGAACGCTCCTCAATTCTGGTGAGAAATGGTGTGACGTCGCACGTTGTGGCTTCCATGACGTCAACATGAGTCTTGTTCATGAGTGAACGAACCCCTTGAATATCCACAATGGCCAGGACTTTCCGGAGACGAGGTGCTAGGAGTGTCTCCGATCTTGGATCATGTTGGCGACCTCTTTGTGTGGGGTGACTGTGCCACATAGGATCGTCACGAGAGCGAGAGCGTTCAGGGACGGTTCGTCCAACAGCTGAGGAATGAGCCATATTTGCTGAGGACAATGACTCAGCAAAACATGAAAGACAGGGAAAGCCACCAAACGAGAAAAAGAAAAGAAGGAAAAGGAAAGGAAAACCGAGAAGGAAGAAGCCAACAAAGGAAAAGGAAAGAGACAAGAAAACCAGTGTGACGGCAGCATTTTTCTTCGCAGCACTGCACAACTGAATGTTAATCCTCTGCCTCTGGTTCGAGGGGTGGGTTTTCATGACCGTGTTGGTCAAAGATCCCAAGTGTCTGTTTCAGGATGCCCCATCTCAGTTTGCAGACCTGAGGATCACGATGAAGTCTTGCACCGATGGTCTTCCACGACGGACGGGACTTTGTGTCCTGTTTCATACTCTTCAATTCTTTATCATCTGCGGTGGTCCACGGGCGAAATGGTGCAGCCCGAGGTGGATCCATTGGATTTGTCCGGAAGGTTTCATATGGAGGAGATGCTGGTGCTTTGGGGTTTGGTGTCAACGTGAGGGTAGAAGTACCCGGAGGAATGGTGACATGGGACGTGGACTCTCCACGATGACCCGGATTGACTTCAGTGTCGTGAGCCGAAGCTGCTGTGGATGCGGCATCGCCATCTGAGTCGTCAGAGTTCAAGGCATTGGGAGTTGCTTCTGAGGTAATGGGAAGCGGGCCAGGACGGAGTTCTTCCTTGACCATTGACACTGGAGTGGTCGCAGGATTGGACAGTTTCTGTCGCTTTTTGGGTTGTGGGTCAACGGTGGAGGAGACCCTTTGCTTTGAGCGGACTGGGACTGGGATTGTATTCCGAGGTTTTCCTCGACCAGGGTCAAGACCAGAAGGATGGCCTGGATTTGGGTCTGGATCCGACACAAGATCTGGATGATGAAGGCCAACAGGGGTGGTGAACCCGTGGTCCCGTTCCATATAAGATGGAGGATGCATAGTGGTTGGACGAAGATTAGGTTCAGGGTTTTCCACCATACGTGACGGGATGCCTCCGTGGGTCACCATGGTTGGTGCCATTGACGATGGAGGTAAAGGAACGAAAGTGTGAAGACTTCTTGGTGCAGCACGTTCAAGACGAACATTTTGAGGAGGCATTGAGTCCTCCCATTCAATGGAGGGCTCGAAAAAGGGAAGAAGTCCTGCCAAGAAATTCAAATGCATCAGAGCCCGCGCCAAATGATGATGGAAAGCACGACCTTGAGCATGATCCATCGAGGCGGATGTAACAATGCGAAGAGGGAGCAAGCGAAAGTTGAGCCAAGAAACTGCAAAAACCAACGAAGAGAGAGAAGAGAAACCAACACGAGACAAAGGCGACAAAACCGAGAAAACAGAAACACGACAACCAAAAACAAGAAACTAAACGGGCAAGGCAGCAGGACACCCTTGTTTGGCCCTAGGATCGAGAGTTCTGATGCTGAATCAAAAGTTTTTCCGAGATTGACTGGAGCTCCTCCTTGGGAAACCCAGCGCGGGTGTACAGATGAATTAACTGGGTCAGACCTTGTTGAACACGAAAAGCTGGGAAGGCACCCTTGATGACAATGTGACAACGTGACCGGAAGCCACTGAGTAGGACAGCCGGAGGAGACGCTGAGAAGGGTGAAAGGACTTGAGAGATGTTGGTTGGCCCTTGATAAATCAGCTCCAAGGGTTTGGTTTCAATCATGAACCCAAGGAATTCCTGGTCAGGTTCAGTCTCCAGGATGATGGGTTTTCCGTAGAAACCATCGTCAAGAAGAACTTCATAGGGTGCAAGTTCGGTGAGGCGTTTGTCTCCAAAGATCAGACGATTGTCAACATAGCGGATGTGCCGAATGAACAAATGATGGTTGGCTAGAACTTGGCGAAAAGTACAAGACCAAATTTGTTCACTGATGGAAACGACCATAAGGCACAGAGCTGGGGATAGAGGGCTCCCCATTGGACTTCCTCGGCATTGACGAACACAGCGTTGACCCAATGCAAAGGTCTGCATGTTCAAAGCCGACTTGATCAAGTCAGGAACGTGTTTTATGACAATCTTTCGAGTGACATTGAGACGACGAAAAGTGCGTCCTTTGATGATGTCCCCTGGATTGTTGGATTTCCCTGGATAGACAGAGAAGGCTTCGTCGTCAGAGACGTTCATCTTTGGACGAAGAAAGTCCAAAAGCATGAACCAGGAGCGGACAAATCTGTCTTGG